CAGAGACCGCCCGCCGTGAGTAGTATGATCGTAAATTGTCATGCCCTTACAAAAATAACATGTCTTTATTTCATTATCCTTAAATGGTTACTAAGAAAATCAATAATGAAAATAAATAAATCATCTGTTACTTTGAAAGATACTTCAAAAGATGAATAAAATATTAACCATTTCTCTCAGTTGCAACCGTGTTTGTGGATAATTCTTTACTCCTTAGGTACCCACTCAAAAGCCTGGGCGCCAACTACAGAAAGTGTGGCCCGAAATGCCATCGGCTATCCAGGACGAGTCCCAGGTTTAAGACTAGACAGGGTTTAAGACCAAGCAGTTTGATGTACTGCAACTGCTATCTACTACTGCAAAACACACTTTCTGGCGTAGTAATTAAATTTAGAATAGCTTGTTTCTGCGATAACTTACTACTTCTGAACTTTATAATGTCTTGTTAAAGTGAGCAATTCTATCTCTTCATGTGTAAGAAACAGATTAATAGCGTAAATGTTACGCTAATTCCAGCGTAATAATTCCAGCGTCCATCGATATTTCGGCAGATGTGGGCAGCTTAATGCCACTTCAATGTTCTTTTTCTGCGACCTATATCGGTAACTTTGTTTTTTTTTTCGGAGGAACTCATTACGAATTGTATCTTTCAAAGACACTTCATTCATAGCGCCTTCTTCTAAGGCTATCATTAATTTGCTTAGTTTATTGAATACTAGGTAGGTACATTTTTTTGGGGGATAATTACGGATACCCCCGGGATAGGACTTTGTTAAGCGCGACATCAATTCAGCTTGGATCCTAAAATACAAGATCCGGGTCTTCCCGAGATTTGGGCTCTCTTGGCTCCTGCATCGTCACGATCGCGTTTCAAAGGAGTCCGAAATCCGAAGGGGTTTTTCCACCATGTTAACAAAAAAAGGTACATTTTGTTACAATGCTGCGTGAGCCTTATTTGACGTAAGACGTAATGTTTGTAATGTATCACAATTGTTCTTATTTGTAAATAGTCATGAAGGGCATGACAATGTAGTGATGATGCCGATTATGATGTTGCAATGTATTTGTGTTTGTAAATTATCTTATGGAATACACAATTAGTAGTACTAGAGATCGTCTTACATAATTTTTAACTTTAGATATATATTTTTGTAATTCCATGGTCACGCTATTAAGATGCCATTGACATCGGTAAAAATTTCGGTATTCTACTAACATAAATTCACAGTGTCAATAGACTGTCGATGTAATGACATTGGCTCATCAATGGTGATATTAACAACATTACTATATCTGAAAAATTAAGTACATCATTTCGTACACACATTCAGTACAAATTTAAAATATACCGTTTACCAAACTATTACAGACATCGGCGGCATTTGTAGTAGACCTTTACATACATTGTTATGAAGATGTTCACGTCCCCTAAATTGTCTTCTCTGAACCAGAGAATTAATGTATAGGGAAATCTTAAAACAAGCATTTAGTACATTAAAAAAGCTTAAGTTTACTTAAATACGCGACAGTGAAATAACAAAATGACAATCTGAAATCCAATTATCGTAATAAAAGTTCAAAATTCAGTTCTGATCAACTCTCGATCTCATAACTGTCATAAAAGGTATTTTCGTAGTAAAGTATTAAACATCCAACGCGGACTGTAATGTGATTTTATCGTATGGTGACCGAAAATCGGTAATCTGCTAGTCTTAGGAATACTTTATTATTTTACTACGAAAATACCGATCGACCGAAAATATTGATCGAACCTTTTATTACGCGAGTAAGCCTTCTAATTGTGAATTGTAAAAAGTGTAAATAAAAAAGCAATAAAGGAATGATTTAATTGTCTTATTTCTGTTTTCGATACTATCTTAAAGTCTTATTCAAGAATGTAGACAAAATTTGAAGTCTATGTAATATTACTATACGAGATCGGAACTGCTTACTGTTTTTGATCAAACTTTTATTACGAGAATTGGCCTTCTGGAAAAATAAAAAGTAACATGTCCTTAGAGAATTCTATTTTCTTTGAAAATAGAACCCTTAGGATTTGTTCCGTAATTGTTTTTTTAACTAGATAGTTCCAGGAACTTTCAGTGCATGTCACGTATTGATTACTTATACATGTGTCACTTAAACAATCATTTATAAAAGGTACCGTTATATAAATAAATGGCTATCATCACTAAACATAAATATAACAAATAGTGTAAATAGCCATTGAGATAAAGTTTTATTGATAAATATTGTCTAAATATGTTTAAACAAATGTTCTTTAAATATATGAAATCTAAAATAGGAGGGCATCAAAGGACCGTACTCGGCAACAACACCAAAATATAACAAAAGTATAACAAAACTTTAAAAAAAAGCAGACCTTCTATGTTTTTTTTTTAAGTTTTGTGAGCATGGTATAAATCCCTTATTTCCTCATAGCATCCATACTATCTTTTTGTAATCCGTTGTCTATTGAATAATCTTACACTGTTTTTATTTAAAAAATAAATACATTATAAATACCTAGTCACACAACCAAAAAGGTGACAATTTGTTTTCCCTAATATTCGTTATGCCTTCGTTTGAGAATTATAGTAAGAACTATTGCAGCTTATCTGCTATCCCATCTTATTTTCTTTGCATTTTTAGGTGAATCTTTTATATTTTTATCTGTCAGGTGTAAATAGAAGGCTTATTAACATCTTATATAACTTTACCAAATACATTAATTATTACAAAATTACTGTACGTTATTGGTATTTTGTGGTATAAAGAACTGGTTTTGCTTTCTATAGACCCATATACAGCCTCAACTTAATCGATAAAATAATAAATTCAGTCGGAATTGAGAAAGAACCTTCTTCCTTTGGAAGTGGGTTAGTAACATAAGTCGATCTTCATTGTAACAAATCGAAATTAGATCCGGGTCACATCCTTATTTGAATTTATTTGGCATCGAGCATTGTATTGGTGAAGTACATGTAATGGCTAAATTAGACTTGCAATGAATAGATTGCATGGAACTGAACAGTTTTAACCCACTTGAAAAAAGAGAAGGTGCCGGTTGTATGCTGTTTTTTGTGGTTGGTACACTCAGAATTGCGTCATTTGGAATTATTTTTTTCATTTGGGATATATAGAAGAAGAAGAAATACCACTCCAAGGGTGAAAAATTTAGGATTGAAGAATGCGTTAAACGTCTGGATATCTACGCTCAGAACACTATACGTCTGGGCGTGGATGTCTGGGCTGCCCCGCGTATTCTGAGGGGGGCGCAACAGCGCTCGACAGGATCCGGACCGATACGACCTGAACCTTCAAGATAAGAGTGTACTCCTTCCTAAAAGGCCGGCAACGCGTTTGTGACTCCTGAGTTGCAGACGTTCATGGGCGGCGATGGTCACTTTCCATCAGGTGACCCGTCTGCTCGTCTGCCCCCTCTAACATAAAAAAAATGCACCGGCACAAATGGGTAAGCTCGGCTTCACAGAAAACGGGGGCGTTGAGCAACTCTTTCGTAGCTTTCACCGAGTGATGAGGTAACTGGAGCCCCAACCCTCATTCCCTAATTATGGAGAGGGAGGCAACGCATTTATGACTTTAGAGGTGCAAGTGTCCAAGGGTAGTGGTAGTCACTCACCATCAGGGGATCGTTCTGCTCGTTTGCCCCTATACCATAAAAAACAGTACAACTCATCATGATCAAAGAGAAGAAAAGAGCGTACTCCTTCCTGAAAGGCCGGCAACGCGTTTGTGACTCCTGAGGTGTAGACGTTCATGGGCGGCGATGGTTACTTCCTATCAGGTGACCGTCTGCTCGTCTGCGCCTTACAACCTAAAAACATATATATATGTACTACTAATAATTTACCGTAGTGCGTGTTAAACGTGACGATGATGATTGTAGAATAATTATTAGTTAGTGACATTGAATAACAAACAGCTGAATTAATCTTCTATTTTTTTTATGTAGGTTATGTTATTATGTATTTTTATACACGTTTATGTATAATACAAAGATATTGGAAAGTTGCGAAGCATACATCTATAAAAATCATCATCATCATATAAAGATGTAAAGTTGGTTCGTTTACGCTTTAAAAGCCCAAGAAGTGTCTTTTTCGAAGACCCATCTAATAAATAAATAAATATATTTCATTTATGAATGTCAAATTTTGGTGTATTTCGGATGAAAAGGACTTAAATGTGAATGGAACGCAGGATTGGTGTCTAACTCTCTACCGATCACAAAAATATTAGTAAGTATTACTTTACAAGAATGTGACTAATTTTGATACAATTTTAAATAAATATTAATCTAACTTTGGAATAGATTAATTATATATAACTTTAAAAATAAGTATTAATGGTGTAAGTGTTACATAGTAATACTGCCAAAATGAGTAGAAAGAGATATTCGACAAAGGCGATTTACTCCAGCGTAGTTAAAAAAATTAACCTATTTTTTGCAATAGTTACTAGTTTTTTTTTATAAAATACTAAAGTTTAGGAGTACAGTCTTCAAAGATAGTTAACTGCACAATACATTATATTTGCAAAGCAACTGCAAAAGAAAACATTTTAAATCACTGAAAACAAAGTCAGTATGTTGAATGATCTAATGTAATGTAAACATTATAAACTAAAAACTATGATAATGCCAATATCAAAGTTGAGTGAGATATATAACAAACGGTGTTGTGTGTCTTTCTGAGTCGTATGCGCGCGCGCCGATCAAAATACAGACCTATTAGTCTAGCGCGGCGCCCTAACGGATATAGACGTGCCTATTTGTGTATTAAGTATAATGTTCTAAATTTAATTATTAGTAATATAGTCTGTGTAATGTTAAATATGGCTAATAGTTTTTATTAGTAAATAAATTATAAAAAAAAGTGCTTGTCTGTGTTATCAAACATTAAGAAGTGAAAGGATAGAAAAATAGCAATATCTACAAACTATCCTTCTTCAAATCAAGTTTAATAGAAGAAAACATTATGGCGTCCATCTCTTCTGATACACCATCAGGAACTCCCGATGATACTCCTACGGATACCCCAACACCTTCACCAGGTCCTGAAACCGTGACCAAATTTAACTGGCTGAAGAAATCACACGCAGCAAGAAATAACCCATTCGTAAAAGCAAGACCTACTTTGAACAGAGAGAGTTCCACTGCAGAATTGTTCACTAGAGAAAATTCAAGTGCCGATCTATTTCAAAGTTCCAGGTTGAATCTCTTTGATACTGCCCCAAAACCTGAAATAAAGGCCGATGCGTACAATAAGGTAATTTTATTAATTCATTTAAGCTTCTTACACAGTAGCACTCCTTGTCGTGCTCAAACTCAATGAGAAGGAGGAGGATCCTTCTCAAAAGACTAATTGAGAAGGATCTTATCCAGCAAAGTAAAATGTTTATAGACGGAGTAATTATTACTTTTTATCTTTTTGAGCGCATCTCTCATCAATCTTTATTCTATTTTTATCTATTTACAAAATATAAATGAAATCCAGAAAATATTCTCATGCACCATACATATCATTAATTTTTTTCATATACAGTACTTAGAGGAATTTGATACAGTAAAAATAAAAATATTGTTCTGAAACATGACATCACTGTTTAGACTGAAATAAAGCAGAACATGTGCTATAAGTTGTAGATAACGACGGATAATGATAAATAGATACTATTTTATAAAGATTATTTAACAATATCTAAGCTTACAGTAAAAAATAAATATATTACTATGCAATTAAAATATTTACAACATTTACACTATTGTACTATCCGTGTGGTGATGGATTAAGAATACAGAGTGTCACCACCCTATTCATCCCGAGGGTGTGGTAAGAACTGACTAAGGGAGTAAACTACGCAGGACAACATCACTGCAAAGAGAAGTAAACCTGAAACAAACCCTATACCAACCCGTCTGGCCAGCGTGGTATAGTAGGCCAAAACCTCCTTTCTCAAAAGAGGCCTATGTTCAGCAGTAGACTAGTAAAGGCTGTTGATGATGATGGTGATGATGATTTACACTATTTACAAGCATCAAAATTCCCCCGCATCATCGCCTACTGGTAGCTTTCAGATATATAGATAGTATTATAGTTGTTTATATAGATCCAAATTGCAAAATAATAATATAAATTTACAATATATGAAACACCCAGACCAATAAAAAGACGTGTTCCTCCATACAAGTATTTACAATAAGCGGTGATCGAATTTACGACTCAAGGTGAGGCAGTCGGATGCATTACTGAAGCGCCAAAAAGGTCGTTATGGTATTGGCATTCTTAAAGAAAAGAAAGAAAAAAAGAAAAACTGTCTATTTTGGCAATTTTGCAGCTTGAGTTACCACCGATTCCAAAAACGGGCCCAATTCAGCCTTGTTGACGAGTCTTTTTTTTAGTTTCTTCAGTTTATCAAAACAGGTGTGTAAGTAAAAAAAGTGGCCGTTTAATAATACTCGTATGTACCTAAATGAAGTAATCAAAAAATAGTTTGGCAAAGAATAATCAAATTGGTTCATAATAATTAAATTTAGGTTATTAAATTATTAAAGGTGAGATAATGGTGATTATTAAATCATAACCTAAATTTAATTATTATGAAATAAATGATGAGTATTTAAAATCCCTGACGCCAAAATAGTTAGAAGTGTTACGTTTCTGTCTGTGGTATTATAGTGCCTTATCTATTTTGATTAAGTTTATTTTGGTTTAAAGTTTAATTGATGAAGTTTGTTCTTAGCTATAATTTAAGAAAATCTGTCTATCCTTTCTGAGATCGTCAACTCTGATTCAGATTTTAGATTGAATAGAATTAGGAATTTGAAATCGTATTAATGATATTTAATTAAATTGGTAGTCTAAATGTATTGTACATTAGGCGTTGGGGCTAATGAATCGAGATACAGGCTCATCCTTGTTCGGCCACAGAAGCTTCATTCGGTTGCTTTAAAAAATCATAATAAAGGTACTTTTAAATAGGTGAATACTTATGTATTTTTTAAACAAAGGTATTAAAATCATCATTGTATTATAATCATAATTTATATACGCTGACAAAATGTATGGATTGAAAAAAATCTGACTGTTTTATAAAAAGTTAAATGTTATTTATTTAGTTTAAAACTTTAAGTTCAAATTTGCTACACTTTAGTGATAAATGTATATTGTTAAAATAACTTACTTGACACAAATTTTAGTTAAAAATAAATATTATTGTTTCAAATTATTTCAGTTGTTTTACGTGCAGTAATCGACAATTCGAATGACGCACGCCAGATAAATGACGTAAATTAAGAGTTGTGAATAGTCACATGGATAGTCTGCATGCTATGCTGCAGTTAGCAGTCATGTCCACTCTTAACCATATACATCAAAGATATGTCTGTAATCAGATCTAGTCATTTGTATTGCTTATCTTTGACTAACTAAAATAGCATAATGCTTAACACTATCGCTGTATTCGATAAATTACTGCGACGTTCTTCATCCTTAGGGATTGAAACTTAACCGGATCTGGGCAAACAAGGCCAGATTTAGCATGTAAGTGTATATACACTGTTGCAAATATGGTCAGCAGTTAAAAAGGCCCTTTCAGCTTCTATACTTATCGGTGATAGACTTGCAATCTAAAATAGAGTAAGAATAAGCACGAGCGGATGCGTGGTAATTGTACAATAAGTAACAATGCGGAGAAATCCTTTTAATTGTAGTTGTTTATTTTTTGCCTGATTCAATGACCGGACTCTGTAATATGATACTGATTCCAGTTGACGTCTAATGATGCCAGATCCGATATACTGGATCGCAATCCCTTTTAGTAGTGTTACTATTTACTCTGCATACTTATATATATGCTATTTTATACTATATACGGTTGTACAGGGTGTAAGAGACATTGTAACGAATACTGAAATAGTGTATTCAGACCATCATTCTGAGTCTAAAATCATTGGAATTTTTTGCTGTAAAATTAAACTCTTTAATGCAATCAGCTGTCAAAGGTAAAGGTCATTTCCCATAGGTATCGCACAAAAGTAATAACTACACGTGTATTCCGTGCAAACAGTATACACTAACAGAAGTTGTCGGCCGGAATTGAGGCCCCGGCGCTTCGGCTGTTTTATTATTTACATTGCAGTTTTTGACCGTATGCGGTATTTATTAATTCGTTTTCGGTAAAATGTTCTGTTTACTCATTGGGAAATCATTTTTAACCAAAAGCAATTAAAAAAAGTGATGAATTTTCCGGCGGTAAATTCCAATGATTTTCAATGACTCAGAATCATGGTCTGAATATACTATTTCAGTATTCGTTACGATGTCCCTTATACCCTGTACGAGTACCTGTCAGTGAATCTTACACACAAAATCATCTATTACAGATATTTTCGATCTGTCTCTTCTTCTCACAAATCATTTGAATTTAAAACAAGTACATGTGCACTTTCTTACTCTGAATCGTAGTCTCCCAATTGTACTTCTATCGAACCAAAGACCGTCGGACAACAATTCTATGTCTGCTGAAGAGATCAGTTATTTCCATGTCATCAGGAGGATTAGGTTTCTCACGGTTTAAAAAAGTCTAAATATCCAACTAATTTAATATTTCTTTTGCCGTAAAGATGTACTTTTAAAGTGTTAAGCACGTGTTATTGTTGTGTGACATCATAGTAATTATTAATGATTTACTAGCCATCTGGCGCTGAACCATTTATTGCGATTGTGTGAAAGTTTAACATGACCCAATTTTGAATGCCACATCGATCGCTTAGGAAGAATACAGGCCGTAAGAATTTCTTTTCTTGTGAGTTTTACTTTTAATACAGTATTTTAATACAACATATTGTGCGAGTATACACATTTCATCTTAAAAATCATGCTTATTTCTTTTAGATTTAATTTTAAATTCTTAAATTTCGGAGCCCTTAAGCCGAAGTTTCACCGAGCTCGGTATATCAACTCGTTTCTTATAAACTTACTAAATAAACTTTAGTCATTAGTTATTTATTAGATATTATAAACCCTATTAGGTTTTCAACATTAAAACAATTCTTAACTTTTTTCTGAAAATTCTTAAATTTTAGTCTTTGTAAGGGTTGGCAACATTATAATAAGTCTTACCTTTTTCCTGGCTATTTCTAAACTTTTATGTCTTTTCTAAACTCTTAACAGAAACGCTATAAACACTTTTTTTGCTCAACTTGTGACAGTCAAAGTTGTAATTCAATTTCATAAGGATTGTTGTATCTTTATTTTGACAACAAAAAACTGAACTATTGTTTTATTACATATAATGTTAATATCGTATAATCACACGGCATATAGCATACTTAGCTCCTAGAGAAATATTCCTATTTGCTTATAATATTTTAGATTATACCCAAACTCTTGATATCAAGACTGTTTGGAGAGCATATTAACATCATTTGGGTGAGTTAGAAGTGTATCTATAAACTTTGTTAGACATTTTTCATGATATTTTGAAAGATCACGATTTCGATTTATCCATTACTAGTTATTTCCTACAGTTTCATCTACGTTTATGGTCAAAACTCTGCTTCTAAGTGCCGTAACGCGATGATTTAAAGACTATAATCTTTCCTAATGAATCATCTATCCAATACAAACTTAATTATTTAAATCAGATTAGATGTTCCAGAGATTATTATAGGTCTTGTTCATTTCTTACATATTTCTTGTTAAGGTTAGATAGAGCAGACAGTAAGCGGGGCGGGACGCCAACACGGTGTAAGTCATGAATAATACTGTGCCACAGAATCGGGCTAGTTCACGTACAGTGGCTCAATTCTTAAAAAATCTTTTAGCGTTTAACAGTTAGCCTAATTCTATTCGCAAAGAAAATCAGCACATTTTCTAAATTTCGCACACGGTACAAATCACACGATCTAAAATCCCTTGGCCGGCTACATTTTATTGTGGTATGTCCTTGTTTTGTGTTAACTTACAGTAATTAGTTATTCAGTTGAAACAAGGAATTCAGCTTAGTTACCCATGTCTAAATACTGCGCACCGTGTCATGGCTCTGTGTAACATCTTTTATATTAACTGGTACATTAAGACCCGCTCACGTCACCTCCCCATTACGCTCTGTCTGCTGTTTGACTAGGTCTTTAGGAAACCTTATTAGCAGTAAGGAGGTTTCCAATTCGTAGACGACCTTTGTGATTTGAGTCCAAAATACAACTGATGAAATTAAAGTTTGTGTGCCCATTCATAAATATTACTATTAGATATTCAGTTGTTCC